AAATTTAATATGAGTAGATTTGCCAGAATACTCTTTTCCATTGCCATCTAATACGAATTCTTTTTTACTTAAGCAAACCCTAAATGGGCCATCTTGAATTTTAAATTTTGGGTTCATATCGTTATCAAATTCAGTAAAATATAACTTCCCATTTGCTAAATAATAATATTATGTATTTGAACTTTCTCATATTTGATTAATCAGTAGAAATATACTCATCAATTTTTTTATCTACTTCAGTTAAAAATTTCCTCTAGTTTGTATTTGAATGAAATAAGAAATCATCATTTTACTTTGTAATTATTTTTTGTGAAGAGTTGAGATTTGATATTGTACTTATACATTTTATATGGTTTTGAATTAATTCAGATCTAATTCTCTCAATTCCACAACAAGAATTTAAAGACAATTAGTCTTCAATAGACTTAAGAATTTCCATTTTTTAATTCTTTATTTGCAATAATACAAATAATAAACATCGAAATTCATTAATCATCGAGAGTTATTGGCTAGAAAGCATCTATATTGGTATTATCAATTTTAATGCCTAAATGTAAATTTATACATAATTATGAAAAGTAGAGTTTGCAATTAGAATGAGTTGTGATAATTAATGCAAAAGAATGAAGTTGAATTGCTTAATAAATTTCCCTATATAAATTCAATAATCAAAATCAAGAGGACATGAGTAGTCCGACTACAATTGAGGTAAATTCAAGAATATAACCAGAATCTGTATTGGTTTCGTTAGCAGTGCTTGAATTCTTATTGCCAGATTGTTCGGTTGTACGACAATTGTTCCATATTGAGTACATTTAGGGTTTGCTGGATTCCGTGAGTAAAGATATACTGTCAAAGTGTAGCAATCTCCTTCTTTTAATATATCAGCTTTAGTAGCAGTGCAGGCACCGTTGACTGTTGAACAAGAGTTGTATTTATTTTAATCCAAAGTGCAGAAGTATTTGCAACTTTAGATTTAAGTAGCATATGTAAGACAAGTGTGATCAGCACAAAGTTTAGTTTTTGAGTCCATTTAACATATATCATTAGCTTATGTGCAAGCATTAGTATCACCTGCTGCTGAAGCACAACTAGTAATCAAAGAGCATTTTCCTTTTGTAGTTCCTCCAGCGGTAGTTTCAGTCCAAACACAAATACCATTAGTTCCTTTGGATCTGCAAGCAGTCTTGCTAGTGTATGTTGAACAGTTAACTTTATCAATACAAGCGGTTCATTTGAAGCATAATTAGCAACTACTTAACAAGCTTAGGTTGTTTTACAATCTGGAATATCAGAGCAGATCTTGGTTCTGCAACTTCCAGAAGCATCAGTTGCACCCCAGAAGCAGAATCCTTCAGTACTACTACAAGCTCTTAAGTTGTGTAACTATTACAAGCTCCTTTAACAAGACACTTAACTCCATCTGATGTGCATGAATTCAATCTGGAGGAGCATTCTGATTCCGTAGTGTAAGTTAGATCTGAACATTATTGATCTTTGCATTATTTGGCAGTATCATCCCAAACGCAATACCAGGTGATGTAATACCTCCATTAGCATCTTTTTATTTTCCATCCTTGTTTCTGAAACATTAGTTTTGGGTATTTGTTGAGCAATCAGCCAACGGAATACATCCAGTTAATTAATCTGATGTACAATTTGGATTAGCTGAAATACATTCATCATGGGTTAAGTAGAAAGGATCAGCACATGAGGTAAACTTCTTGCAAATAGTGTCTGTGGCTCCTTTAGCGGATACTGTTTAGATACATTATCATCTGTTCCTGTCTTGCACCCTCCCTTAATGTTTGTGGCTCCACAACTTGTAATTCCTACACATTCAGTACTGTTTCAATCTAAACTCTTGCATGACTGTTCTTTATTTTTAGCAAGCAGCATGGGTTGTTCCAGCAAAATCTTGGCATTCTTTTAATCTACAATTATTAGCTTCAGTGTCCCATTAGCATTCATTCTTATTATTGTCAGTAGTACAAGCAGTGGCAACATTAGCTGATGTGCATGCTCCTTTAAGTGTGCAACCTCCATCTTTCTTGGTGGTACATATTCCAACTGAAGGTGTAAAGTAGGCAACACATTAAGCTTCGGTTGTCAATGATGTTGGGGCAGTTGTGCAACTTTTGTTTGTACAGTAAGCATCTTATCCGGTTAGAGTCATCCATTAGCACTACTTCAAATTTGAATCTGTAACACATCCAGCTTCAGCTAAGGCTTAACTGTATGTTCCTATTTTAACGCAATTAACTCCATTTGATGTACAAATAGAGAGTCCTGCTTTACATAAAGCATCGGTTGATAATGAGAAATCTTCACATATTTTGGTCTTGCATTTAATAGCGTCAGTTGTGCAACCAGATAAATAAGTGTCGCATTCTGATTCTGATCCATAGTTTAGTGAATTTTCACATTTCTTTGTTATACACTTGCTTTCAGTTGTATCCCAGAAACATTTTCATGTGATTTGTCAGCTGATCTATCAGAGCATAGATTTTATATCATACCTTCACAGACATCTGGAATAGCAACACAACCTTTATCTGTTGCATTAACAGTACAACCAGCTAAATAATCCACAAAAAAGTAGGAGTGTTCACAGTTCCTTAAGCTGTTAAGCAGCTCTTAATGGCACAAGTTGTTCCATTCCATCCACATACAATATTTGCACCTGTGTTGTCCTTATCACTACTAATCTTACATTATCCTTCATGAGTGTATGAATTACATGTTTTATATGCAACACATCCTTAAAGTGTTGGTGTTCCATTGACATCAATAACATTTACTGTGCATCCAACAAGATATTCTCTACATCCGTCATGATCACTATAGGATGTAATTGGAGCAGTGGCACATAATATGTCAGCACAAGTAACTGGATCAGCATTTGTATTCCAAACACAATCTTTATCTTTAGTATTTTTCTTACATTATTCTTCAATTGTACATAAACTACAAGCAACAAATGAAATACAACCTTAAACAATTGCCTTGTCTGCAGTTGCTTTGACTGTACATTTTCCAACGGTTAAACATTTAGTATGACTATCAAAACTAGTTGATGCTTTGGCTGCACTACAACTTTTATCAACAAATTTAGCTGCTGTAGGAGTCCACAAGCATTCTTAACGCAGGTGCCCTAAACTTTATATGAAGCACAATTAGCTCTGAATTAACATCCTCCTACTCTTATAACACAATTTGTTGAACCTGCTTAGCATCCAGCTAAAGTAGTAACAGTAGAGGCTGCTGAATCACAATTCTTTTAAACAAATGATGTTCCAGAAACTAGGCATTTTTTTTTTTTTTTTTGCATATGCACACTCCCTAGTAGTAGAATCTGTGCTAGTATCTTTTATGGCGATACAAGTAGTCTTAGCTACATTTGCTGTGCAAGTACTGAAGAAGCCTAAGCAAGCCTAATAAGTAAATAGACCAGTATAACTAGCACAGGTTGGAGTTGCAACAACAGGTGGAGTGATGGCTTCACAACCAGATTTATCTGCTTTAGCCTGGCAATCATATAATTTACAAATGCCATCAATATATGAAATTGCTACTGCTCCTATTTAAAGAGTTTTACAGTGGGGCAAGGATCGGAAGTAGCATCATCATAAGCTTCACATCCATCACCACCAGCATTTACAAAACATTTCGTTTTAGTGATAACTGAAAGACAATCAGCAATTGCATAACCAGTGTAAGCATCTAATTTCTCAACAGAAGCGGTTAATTCTGAATTTGCTGAACATGTATTACCACCAGCATTAATTCCTTCATAATATGCAGGAGTCAATCCTATTCCTGTGGTTGTATCACTAGCTAATGTGTAAGTAGTACCACTTAAATAGCATTTTCCTTCCTCTGAACCTGTACAATTAGCTGCGGATATACCTGCACATGTAGCAGCTGTCATCCCACATAGGTACCATCTCTTTTGAGTTTGCATTAAGGGTTATATGCTTAGCAAGTATCATAATGAAATGGACCATACAATTTGTTCCAGTTGCTCATGTACAAGAAGCTTTTTTGCTCTTGCTAATTCCCAAACCGGTTCCAGCAATATCACTGCATTTAGTTGTGTCAACTATTAATGATGATGTCATAATTGGAGCATTTAAGGAGAGCCTCCACTGGGCCCAATCTGAGTGAATGAAAGAAAGAGAGCGTAGAGAGTGATTGACATATTGAAGAGTCAAAAAATGGTTTTGGGGAAGAAGGCCAGATTTAAAGACGTAGGAGCCCACGAAATCCCGGTCAGGGTTTGAAGGAGGATATTGAATTATGTGAATTCTAATTTAGGGGAAGCTTTAGAGTAATTGGGTGAATATGAAGAGGCACTTTAAATTATGGCTAAGGATTGAAATGTAATCCAAGTAACTGTTTCAACTATTACTTAAAAGGTTCATTATTTCTATTTTTCTATGAAATTGTTTATAATGATTTATTTGTTTTAATCCAATTCAATCATTATAAAAATATAAAGAAGTTATTGCTTATTATGATAAGGCTTTTAAATGGATCCAAATGGTGAATTATATCAAAATGTCAAAGGTGTATGTAATAGTTTATATACCTAGCTTAATGACAGAAAAAAATAATGATAATAGAATCTAATGATTATTTAATAATATATATAAAAAAAATTATAATTTCCAATAATATAAGATTATTTTCTATTATCATAATTAGAGTATTCAATTTATTTTGAAATTAACACATTGATAGCTTTTTCAATGATCCCTTTGGATGATCTCATTATTATGGTGTTCTATAATAAATTAGAAGTAAAATTTCCTTGTATTAATGCAATAGTATTCAAATGTAATATTTTAAAACAGGAGAAGATACATGCTACTTTTCATTGAAGGTTGAAAGTTGAAGAATATGAATAAAATATAATGAAGAATAGAAATTTAAAGAAAAGAAGAAACGCATAAAACTGAAAGTTTAAGAGATAACATAAACTCATAAAGAAGTTGCATCAACAATTCAAGAAAAGAGCAAACCTTATAAAAATTATAGAATAACTTCAAATAATGTGAGCATTGACCCAACTGCTATTCTACAATTTTTTTTTGTTGAATAGCTATTTTCAATGTATTAATCAAACTTAATTTTTAATCGTAAACCATCAATGTTTATGGTATTCGATCAGGATGAGATAATTTGATGTATTTGGAACTATCAACAATGATGACTTCAATATAAATTCGAATTGTTATTGAATCAAATTATTAATTAGATGATGAACACTTATATACATACTTCCAAGAAATATTAAGACTACTTATAAATTGTTTATGTTAGATTCCCAATTTTACCAATATCTATTCCTTTTGAAAGTTGCACTTCCACTACATATTCTCTTACAAGTCTACCAAAATAAGTGTAACAGCTCCTGGGTGGATCATCAATGATATCATATACAGGACAGGCATTTAACCATTAAGGAGATGTGTGATATTAGCAGTATGACTTAAAGCAAGAAAAATCTATAAGCGCTTAATATTCAGTTCATTTCTACTAATCAATTATTATCAAAGAACCTTTTAGTTATTGCTTTAGGCTTAAGTGATAAAAATGGACACTACTCTAAAGTCAATAATACACTCATTAACTTTTTTTTTAAACCCTTTATAGTTTATTTTTAACCTCAAATGCTTTTAATCAAAGGACATTAAATTAGTTTCTTCATTAATTTTATATTTATCTGATTTTTTAATAATGTGTTGTTAAGAACTTTATCTACTTATATTTGAAAAATCGCATAGGCATATTTTGTGATTTAAAATGACTTACTCTTTTGTATATTGATAGAGAAGAAATACTGAGTGTCAAATGAATCTCCAACAATTAATGACACATCCTGTATTAAGAGTTGAACATTAATAACTTTATGAATGGATTAGTAACAGCACATCACAAAATAGCTTATGATATTGTGAAAAGTTTGTGAATAAAGTAATTGATCTTAATACAAAAAAGAACATAATTGATTCAACAGTTCTTTATAAATTGTGAGTGAATTCTTCCAAATTTCTATAAATTGGTATTAAAAAATACCTTTTCCAATTTATCATTAATTTCGATCTTATAGAGAAAAATGATATGCGGGCATTTCTAATTCCTAGTAAATATTTTGTAGTGCATTTTAAATATTGGAAATCTATGTTTTCAGAACAGCAAGAAGAAGATAATTTANATAGTATTCAAATGTAATATTTTAAAACAGGAGAAGATACATGCTACTTTTCATTGAAGGTTGAAAGTTGAAGAATATGAATAAAATATAATGAAGAATAGAAATTTAAAGAAAAGAAGAAACGCATAAAACTGAAAGTTTAAGAGATAACATAAACTCATAAAGAAGTTGCATCAACAATTCAAGAAAAGAGCAAACCTTATAAAAATTATAGAATAACTTCAAATAATGTGAGCATTGACCCAACTGCTATTCTACAATTTTTTTTTGTTGAATAGCTATTTTCAATGTATTAATCAAACTTAATTTTTAATCGTAAACCATCAATGTTTATGGTATTCGATCAGGATGAGATAATTTGATGTATTTGGAACTATCAACAATGATGACTTCAATATAAATTCGAATTGTTATTGAATCAAATTATTAATTAGATGATGAACACTTATATACATACTTCCAAGAAATATTAAGACTACTTATAAATTGTTTATGTTAGATTCCCAATTTTACCAATATCTATTCCTTTTGAAAGTTGCACTTCCACTACATATTCTCTTACAAGTCTACCAAAATAAGTGTAACAGCTCCTGGGTGGATCATCAATGATATCATATACAGGACAGGCATTTAACCATTAAGGAGATGTGTGATATTAGCAGTATGACTTAAAGCAAGAAAAATCTATAAGCGCTTAATATTCAGTTCATTTCTACTAATCAATTATTATCAAAGAACCTTTTAGTTATTGCTTTAGGCTTAAGTGATAAAAATGGACACTACTCTAAAGTCAATAATACACTCATTAACTTTTTTTTTAAACCCTTTATAGTTTATTTTTAACCTCAAATGCTTTTAATCAAAGGACATTAAATTAGTTTCTTCATTAATTTTATATTTATCTGATTTTTTAATAATGTGTTGTTAAGAACTTTATCTACTTATATTTGAAAAATCGCATAGGCATATTTTGTGATTTAAAATGACTTACTCTTTTGTATATTGATAGAGAAGAAATACTGAGTGTCAAATGAATCTCCAACAATTAATGACACATCCTGTATTAAGAGTTGAACATTAATAACTTTATGAATGGATTAGTAACAGCACATCACAAAATAGCTTATGATATTGTGAAAAGTTTGTGAATAAAGTAATTGATCTTAATACAAAAAAGAACATAATTGATTCAACAGTTCTTTATAAATTGTGAGTGAATTCTTCCAAATTTCTATAAATTGGTATTAAAAAATACCTTTTCCAATTTATCATTAATTTCGATCTTATAGAGAAAAATGATATGCGGGCATTTCTAATTCCTAGTAAATATTTTGTAGTGCATTTTAAATATTGGAAATCTATGTTTTCAGAACAGCAAGAAGAAGATAATTTATAGTCGAATAATTGCAATTTTCAATTCCAATGAACAATTCTGTGCGATATGAGGTATGTTGAGGTTTGAGAGTAAATATGCATGTGATTTAAATTTCTTTGGTAGTATATTATGAAATTATAATTCTTAATTTGAATTAATTTCGAAAATTCTTCTGTTTTTTCTCAAGTTCTACACACCATTTTCACAAAAACTCTGTGTTTTTTCTTTGTTTTGAGAAATAACAAATAGGATCCTTCATATTTCAAACAAGGAATTTAATCTATTTGTTTTTACATATACATTTCTAAATTGTATTTAATTTTTTCATTTATTTGTTTCAATGAAATAAATGTTATTATTATTATTATCATTAACACAACTAATAATCAAAATCAGATTGTAGTTATTGCCTAGACACCTGAGGTTAATAATGCTGGGAGTTATGAAGAGTGCCTAACTCTAGATCCCAGTGGAGTTTTTAGGAGCTGAATATATATTTTAAATTAAGTTGTAATAGTATTATGATGCTACTTTATGTGTCATCGAGATTTATGTTATGAATCGATGTTTTGAGTAGAAAGTTCTGGAATAAGCATTTATTCGGGAGGTATGGAAAGCAATAGAGATAATGTACAACAAAGATCTCTTCAGGCTATCAAAGTGAAGTCCCGAATCGGTTAGATCAGAACAGAAAATAAGTAGGTGTACTTCATCTCATTCATAGTCTCAAGTTCCCTAGACTTCATATCCCTTATGGCCATGTTTTCAAAGTTCCCTGGCATGGAAATAGCTGGAGTCCCCTTCCAGGTTAGGAACATTTGAGAATTCTGTGCTGATAGGAATTAATTACAAATTATATAAATGTAATTATTTCGATTAAAATATTAAATAATGAAAAAAGGTCTAGTATAGTTTGACTTTATTGAACTAATGATTGCCTATGGTATTTGTTAGCTTATATAAATTTAAGTAAAATTTAAACCTTCTTTAAGAAAATACTTTTGTTATATTTTCCAACTGTATCACAAGTTAAGTTTCTATCTTCGTTATACTGAAAGAAACAAAAGGTCTTGGTTGATCCTTAAATGATGGTAAAATTCAAGCAGCAAAACTTAATCATACATTGGCAGAATATAAAATTTTTCAAATCTAAAAATTAAAGCTTTCAATCTTTTAACTAATTTATTGTGAAAACAATATTAAATCGCAAGGAATATGATTCACAAACTAATAATAGTAATTGTACTAAAAAGTTTAATCTAATTAAAAGAAGGGGTCTTTATTTCATTTTTATAACCTAGTTTTTTTTAGCATAGATTCAAAAGATAGTATAAAATAATTCCATCTCAACCAAATTCCCAGAATTACTTTTAAATATTTCAAACCAACCTATGATAACAAATTGAAGTGGATGATTTTATAATATAATTTAAAATTGTAGGTTAATAATCAGATAAGAACTTTAAATTCATATATTATAAAATTAAAATTCTCAATTATATATTTCTTTTTCAAGATAATCATTTCTCATTTATCTAATGTTGTGCGTATTATTTAGATGTGCTTTTAATTGCTTATGCCTGGTTAATGATGCCAATTTATAATGGGATTAACAGCGTAAAGGATTCTATATTAATGATAATATTATTTTTGATATTTAATTTATGCATTTGATATTTTTAATATATGCGCTCTTAAAATTGAAAAATTGTTTTTCATTCTTTCTTATCTTATTCTCTATTATTTAAGTAAAGTGCCCAGATTAATTGTATTTTTAGATTTTGGACTTATCAATTTCAAAATATTATAGAGTTTAGTTATAAATAATGCCTTATATTTTTTAACATATGCTTGAAAGATATTTAAAATAAACTGGTAGCAGAGTTTAATACAAAGAAGCATAATGAGAACTTAGAAAATTTGGGAGGAAGCATTCTGAAATTCCTATTCACTAACATACTTAGCTATTGCTATAAAAATGGCAATAGAGCATATTTAAGTTGCTTAGAGATCCAAGTGGTTTAATTTTTATAGTTTATAAGGTTAATACATTCCTGCTAATATTTAATATATTAATAACAATAAACCTAACAATGATGTTTTAAGCACAATATTGGAGTCAAAATAAGTCATAATCACGACTATGCCAATTTTTTTTGAAAACTTGATTTACTCCCAAAAATAGTTTTCTTCATTATATTCATCAAACAAGTAACAAAAATGTCTTCTAAATTAAATCTTATTAAAATTTTTCTTAGTTATGAACATAATCAAAAACAAAGCAAATGGAATAAGAAATCCAAATACAGCTAATCCAGGTATAGCAAATTTCCATATCCACTAATTATGATCTAAAGAACCAAAAGTTTAGGTTAAATCTCCCTGGATGTATGAAATGTTTGATATTATTCTTTTAGACACAATCGAACAAAATCTTTATAATCAATAATATTAATTACTGTTTAATTAACCCAGAGAAATTTGATACATATAAGTATAATAATGTATTTGAAATAATGTAGGTTTGGAACTTTCTTCTCGACACTAATATATACAACTAGTATCCTATAAAAATGACTCCAAACTATATTAGTGTCAATAAAATGGTAACAATAATTCTAACATAAATGAGTTCAATTGAAGAAATCTCAGATAGAAAGCAATCAAGACTAGATGCCATGAATTAAGATGTATTGCTAGTTTGATCAATGAAAGAAAATGAAATTGAAAATTTGAGATTAAAAGTAAATGTGACCGAAAATATCCATAAATATATGAACAACATTTTAATGAATATGCCTTCCATATCTAATATGTATAAATATTATAGATGTACCTTATTCTAATTTAAATAAGATTTTTCTAAATCTCAATTTAAATCGAAGCTTAGAAAATAACATGTTAGAATTTTGAATACTTCTTAGTGTGATTAGTACAGAAACAACAGTCCTTTAATAGTTTTATAGCCATACCAAAGAAAGGAGATAATAAAATGCATGATAGTTTTAGTCGAGCAACTATAACATTCGGAATCCTATTAATTCTTAAAAAAGTTTCCTTCCCCTCTTTGATTATGGTAATCGCATTCCTCACACAAACCTCCAAGATGACCCAAAGAGCAAAGCTCATCCCCTACTTTCCATCCTCCTTTACAAAATTCTATATTCTTGAAACAATAATCAGTATAATCGGAGTATAAATTTGGTCTCCAATAGCCTTATAATAATTATATTGCATATGAAGATATATTTGCAAACTTTGTTTTATCAAATATTGAGCACTTTGTAGCATTATATGTTACTGAATAAAATCCAAAAATGGAATCACAATTTTAGCATCCTTCATCAATGTAAAATTCTCCTAATTAACATTTATAAGTTCTTGAAATGATTAAATACAATAATTAATCTTGTGAACTATTTGATGAGCAATTCACTAAAATTTATAAATTATGATTTTCATCGTGATATGGATCAAAATGGAAGGAGAGAGATCCTAAATCAAATTAATTAAATTGGTCAATTTAAAGAGTACTAATAAATTTAAAATCTTCAAATCGTTAAACCTCATCTAATTGAGCAGCAGTTGCTTATGAAACTAAGCAAGTAACCTTATTTGAATTTTTTAGTACCTCATTTTTGCTATTTTTTAAGGTTATGAATAGATCATTTAACATATTTTTAGCAATTTATAATTATGGTATTACATTCTTATATTTTTTGATTACTTATTCACTTGGTATCATCAAATACTTACTAAGCTTTATAACACCCTACTCTATTATTTTATAAGGTTTAAGTTTTAGAGATCTTATTGTAATATTATTTATTATAAGTTCATCTGCTGCCATCTCTTGAGAATTAATTAATAAGCTTAAATGAGTTGGGAATTCAACTGTATTATTTGTCAGAAAGTCTGCTTTGTTGAATTACAGAAATGTTTAAATCAAATTTTTATTATTGATATTCCCATCTTTAAATAAGTATATTCCACCACCTTCAAAGGCAAGGTTATTTAAAATTATGGATTTATTAATAACTAAATAATTGGTATCCATGTCCAAAAATATCCCACCTCCTTAATTAATTGCAATATTGTTAATTATGTTACACTGAATAATCTTAATAGGAATATTAGCTGAAAATATAGCTACGCCTGAACTACCATTATTATTAAAGAAATTAGAATTCAAAATTAAACTACTCTGTTTAATCGAATTAGTTGTTGCAATATTCAAGCATCCAAATTCCTTTATTTGATTAGAATAAAACATAGTATCTCTAATTTATAATGATTTATAATCTTCGATATTTACAAATATTAAACCTTTTGAACAATAGGAACAATTAATCTCATATAAAATAAGATTTGAAACATAAAAAATTGTATTATTTGAATTCAGTTGAAGTGAAATAATAGAGCTTGCTTTTTTCGTTGATTGCAGGAGCTTGATGATTTAATCAAGAGTATAAATTTTTCTTGTTCAACATTTTCAATTTAAAAACATCCTTTAATCATATAATTTATTTTAGAATTTTAATAGATTGGATTATTCACAACATCATAAATTGAAATGCGTTAAAATTTTCCATATTTAATATTTATGGATAAATTTATTGATAATTCCTACTTTATTTCCAATAGATTTAAACCATAAAATACTTTAATTTCTATTGCCTATATTGAAGACATCTATAAATATGAGAGATTTATTAATTTAATCAAAGGGCAACTAAAAACACCTGAAAAAAGAATCTTTGTCAAAACTACATTGCAATTTTGTAATTGAATTAAAGCATTAGAAGTACCAGTTATCTCAATTATTTCATTTTAATTTATCATTCCAGTCTTTCCAAAGTATTTAACCCAAACTTCTTCCTAAAAGTTGATATTTACATTTTAGATAACAATTTTATTTGAATTGATGTTCTATGTTGAGAATGCTATATTTATGATTGGATTTTTCAATGAAATACAATTTTTAATTATCACATCTTAGATTAAAATGTTATTTTAATACAAAGATGGACTTAGGGTAAGAATTGATGCTGCCATACGATTAAAGGTATTTTCAAACACTGCATTTATGATTTTTAGGTTAAGCATACTATTGGATGAATAAATAGTAATACAACCTGAGCTTTCTGTTATTTAACTTAAATCATATTCTGAAGAATTAATTTTTATATTTCTTAATTAAACTTATCCTTCCCCTTAAGATTTTATTTCAAATACAGAACTTTTCAATCCAATAATATCCTCAAAAAAACAATTAAAGCAAATAAAATTTGATGCAGCAATTAAACCAGCTCCACATTTATTTTTTATTTTAAAAATTTATGATATGATTAAATTTATTTGTTCCTAATCATATTCATATTACTCATTTCCTAATTACAAATCATAATATAGGTTCCATAATTCTAAAGGTATTATATTATGTTTCGAGGCATTATAATTTGTTAATGTGATGAAGTCAGATTTCAAATAAATAAATGGATTTGAAGAATTAGTCAGAGCATTATAAGAACATTAAAAATTATTTATTTTTATCTATCCTTTAAATAAATCTATATGAATCAATGAGGCAGCTGAATCCTAAGAATCATCTATTTACTAATGAATAAAATTTTTTTCAAACCTTATGTTTTCTATTTAAATAATAGTATTATGTTCAGACTTTATTGAAATTAAAGAGAGATAATTTGCTTCATTTTAATGTAATAATAAATTCTCAAGAAATTCCAAATTTATAATTTCTAGACTTAAAGGTACCTCAGTCCATCTTTTTCTAGTTGATGATATTTCTATTAATTACAAATCAATACTAAATAATTTTATAGCCTTGATATTTTTTAGAGTAAGAACAGAGTATCCAGAAATTAAAATTAGTTGATAATTTTAATATTTGTAATTTATACAATTCATATTAGATGGAACTTTAATATTAATATTCTGATTTTCGTAAATTATGTTTGATACAAATATTTGAACAACTTCTAAAAAATAGAAAATGCCAAGGTTATATTATTCAACTATTTATATATTATCAATTTCAAGTTGAAAGCAATGAATATTAAATAGACTAATACGATTTTAATTAGCCTACCCTTAGTTAAAATAAATTTGAACGGTTTTTAATTTAAAGTACATATTTTCATTTGATATATAAAATAGGTTAGTGTTATTAAATTCATTTTCAAAAATTTTGCAATTATCAACTAAAAAATATATATATTCCTTGCTTTATGTTTCCAGAGTTGCAAGAAAGTAAGATTGTACAAATTTGTTACTTTCTAATGAGGTTTAAAACATAGAAAAATCCTTATTAAACACGAAAATGGTTGACAGAAATATTGAATTATTGTTAAGCAAAACATTATTTATTGTAATTTCTTATAAATTAGTAAAATTGAAAATGAAAGAGTTCACAAACTGACTTGATGTTATTGTTATATCTTTGAATTCCATTCTACTTTAGCCTTTGGTATTTGTAATAAAAGTGATGAATGAGGAATTAAGAAATACGGTTTCATAAATAAGTAATTCATCTATCTAAATTTAAACTTGATTATTATTAATTAACCAAAATAGTTGACTGTTTGTAAAAATACAATTTTACAATCTCATTTTTGAAATTTTCAATTTCCCTTGTTAAAATTATTAATTTAATTTAAATAATGATGATGAAGTGAAATTTGAATTATATATTATAATGTTATCCAATGTAATATCCCCAAATAGATCTGAATTAAATAAAGGATTGATATTATTATAAGAGTTTTCATAAATCACGATGTTATTTAAGATGAGATTAACTTTTTAATTTTGATTTTAAAATAGTATTTGAGTAACTCTTTAACTAAAATATACATTTTTGATTTCTATCTCATCAAAACCATAGAAATATGTTGGAGAACCCTAATAGTAAGAAAAATTAAGTTCAATTTTTAGAACTTATAAACTAAAAATATATTTCTTTGATTCACATACATATTGATATTTTTCCCATTACAAATGGGGAAAATTAATTTAAAATTTCAAGACTTACAATCCAATTTAATTACAATATTGAATATAAGTTACTCGTCTATTTTTAAGATAAAATGAGACAATGTAAAAATGTATTCTAAATTACAATTTGGAGTATAACAATATTTAGCAATTTAAAATTAAGAATCTATTATAACATTTTAATTCTATACTGGTCGCACACATTTATAAGAATACCTTTTGTTCTCATCTGTGAGAAGAAAGTAGGGATTTAGTTTCTAAATAATAATAACAATATTTACTTTTATTTCAGCTTCAGATCTTATTTGGCATATGTCGCACAATTCAGCACACCTAATGCATGAACCCTCATCTTGCATACGAATAGGTTATAAGTAATAATTTAATGGGCATGTTGCACAATAAAAATATGCTGCATTTTTATTCTCTTAACAATCCAAACATTCTGAAGTGCAATATTTCAAGCATCTATTTGATTAATATAATTAGTCTCCCTTATTACATTCTATTTCTTATGGAAAGTAAAACTACGTATACTAAAATTTTTAATAATAATATTGGTTTGGTAAAAATTTCATCATAAAACTCTAGATTCTCTAAATAGAGGCATCCCAATAGGTTTCTCCTTCAATTACAATTTTAGCATTTACAGATTCTAACGTTTGTTTATAACAGTTTCCATATCTGATTGAGGCTACAAGCCCTACATTACAAATGATGCATTTAACTTCATACAGAGGAGTGATTATGCATTATAAACAATTTTGAATTAACTTTCCACAATTGATTATTTCTGGTGCCACACTAAAATCAGTAGATGATAAAGTGCATATTTCTTAACCATCTAAATTAACAAACGCCCTTAAGCAAGTAGATAAGGAAGGTTATTTATAAATGCACTTTCCAATTATAAAGTCAAACATGTAATTTTCTTCACACATTGCACATCCAACGTTTAAGAATTCATCGTATCCAAATTTCTCGAAGTTAGCATATAAAGTAGACTTTTCTAAATCATCCTTCTTATATTCAAAACAATATTTGCAATTTTTAATTTGGCACAATTTACATTCTTTAAATGAGTTTAGATAATTAGGCAATCTACAACCAACTTCAGAACCAGGGAAACTGTATTTAATAATACAAGCTCCATCTATAGATTAGTAATTTTTTTAGCATTTAATACATATCTACCGTGTCATTTCTATAGTACAGATTTGGCAGTATTGCAATTAACATTTATAACACAAGTTTATAGTAAATTCTTAATATAAAAGGTGTGACGGACCTATCTAACATAGTGATTAAAATGCTTATTGCAATTAAGTGAATTGGTTAAATATATTATCAATATTAAAAAAGGATCCTTTAATGCAAGCTTTACACAAATATGGTTCTAAACCATCGAAAATAAAGTTTTAATCTGTTTCTATTGATTCTTCTTTTCTTACTGTATTCCCATTAGGATCTATATAAACAGTCGTAAAACAATAGGAATTCTCTGACCATCCTTTTGCATTTTATATACACTCTAAACATGTTGTCTGTTTTTCAGAAAAAATTGAAGGACTTTATAAATTATAATATAATTTACCATGCATAACATGAATCATCGAACTCAAAATAACCAAATTTGCAATCATTACTTTTTTGTAAATCCTTAATTTCAAATAACAAATCAAAATGTGACAAACAATTCTAATTAAATTAATCATCGAAATATTAATATGGGCAAATACAGGCTTTCCTTTCTGGTATATATATTCTTTATGAAGCTTCAGAACAAGATAAACAATCTAAATTTGTTGGACCAATGCAATTCTAACATGAAAAATGGCAATTTTATTCTTCTAATTATTATTAGCAATTATAAAATTTAACATTTCTAGTTTAAATATTTAAATAATTCTCTACTGATTTCATTAAATTTCCATATCTTATCAAATATAATACATTATTAAATTATTTGACATTGAGTGACTTTGAATATTCATATATTCCAACTGAACCGAAAAATTTAATCTAAATAAAAATTTGATCCTACTCTAGATTTACAAATAAACTATGCCAAAGAGAAATGCTATGATTAATTTCAAACTCTTCTGTTATTATAAAATTGTTGTCACTATTAGTAAAATCTAAACTTACTGATGGAAAATTATAGCTATAAGTAGTAATTATTATTTTATTGTTATTTGGAGATATTTTATAGAACAATTGAAATGGTGCTAGGTTAGGATTAGAGAATTACTAAGATTAAGTATTTTTACTTATTTTTATAAATTGAAAGGTAAAATCATCATCAACTTGATTTATATGCGTAATTCTAAACCAACCAGCAAATATAAAGGAATCAATGTTGATTTCTTCAGAGATATATGACTTTTAATCCAGCCAAATCAAATCTTAGTCCAAAATTTATGAATTAATTGAGTTATTCTTGCATTCAGTATTAGATTCAATACCAAAATCATTCACATAGATAATTATCCCAAAACTTAAATATATCTCAGAAATATAATGAGTTGGTATAGATATCAAATACATCTAACCTGGAAAGTATGAAAATAAAGTTCCTGCTTAAATTGAATTCAAATTTGAATTTTGTACAATGAGGCCCCCTCCAATAGTGTTTTTTACATAATTTTCTACATTAAGACGACTATCCAATTTTTTCCAAAGCAAAATATCATTTTGGTTTACCATTATAAATTCTATAATATTATTTGAAGGATAATAAAGTAATTCAAATAAATGCCATACATTTTCATATTCCAATGGGTCAATATCTATCTGATATATGTGTTATTGGCCATCTAGCGTTGAAAAAGTTAAAACCTTTAATATAGTTTTACTTTCGGGATCAAGACAATCATAATATATTAATTACAAATATTTTGATGATTTTCCAATCAAACTCTGATAATGAAAGCAATTTGAATCCATTAGCCCGACAAGCCCAACTTACTATGTTATCCCTTAGGGATTATATTTAGACCATATTCCAATAAATAATAAATAATTGTTTATTAATGTATCATACATATCTACTATGGTCTCATTTAACTAATATTGCTGATTCATAGTTAAAAGTCCTTGTTCATAGGACATATTAAAAAAGGACAATAAATTCAAAATCCAAAATATCTTCATTATTTATTAAATACTTTTTAATAAGTAATTAAAATTCTGTTATATATTAATTTTTAATTAATCAAGAATTTGAAAAAAATGGAAATATAAGAGAAAGCAAAAAAGGCGATTCTTATAATCTAAACTATTTTTAAATTGTTAATATTTCTGATCAAACTTAATTATAGCCTTTACAGAAAACAAACACATTTTTTTTATTTTATTCAACTATCTTTTTGGAAGTAAAAATTGTAAAATCATTCATTTTAGTTTCTCATTGACAGATTGATTTACTTTTTCATTAGTATTAAGTATTAAAATAATAAACAAAAATTACTTTGTGTTGTTTGCAGGTTTAGATTAGAATAAAAATCTTGATCGACATTTTAATTTATAGGAATTCTGATAACTATGATAATTAGATGATAATTTGGTTTATCAAGATGTAATACATGATGGAATTTATTCATTTAATCTAAAAATTTATTCCATGATTCCAATAGACATTTTATTTTTGCAATTGTGATTAAATCCAATTGTTTTGTCCTGAAATATTAGTTTTTAGAATTGGAATCTCAATCATATTTCTTTAATTCATCTTAAAAATTTATGAGGGCCTTAATTATTCTTTTCAACTCTAGATTTAGATTTTGATAAATTCAACTCTAAATATTTTTTATTAGAATATATTATGGTTGCTATAAATTATTGCGATTAGATTGTTGAATGTAAATCCAAATATAAATATATCCCTATAAATATACAATTCTAACCGTCTGCAAATATGTTTTTATGAATAGTGATTATTTTTTAAAATGTTATATTTATTTAACTTTCAATGGAAAATTTTAATACAAATATTCAAATCTTTTTATATGATATTGTGTATCTAAATGATTTTTATAAATTTGAGCCTCATTAAATTACTAAAGAGGAACTTCCATTCCTAAATATAATAAGCAACTAATACGGATCTCTTGTAGTAATTTAATTTGATACAAGTTTCTAATCCTGCTATAATTCCACAATACAAATCAGATAATATAATTAATTGGGATCGAAAAATTTAAACCAATAAAATTCATAAAGCTATTGATTTGAAAAGGAATTGCTACCATAGATATGCGCAAAATCAATAATTTCCATAACTAAATACTTCAATTGAATTCCAAACTCTATTTTGAAATTAGAAACAGTAAAAATATAGCAGTTTTATGCTTAATTACTTAGAGAATACATAAACTCAAATAAAATGAAATGGGAAATAATAAATATAATTTAAAACGCTTTTAAATGGGGTTTAATTAGAAAATAATAACAAAAAAGGAATATTTCAAAAAAATTGCATCTATACTAAAAATATATATAGAATGTATTTTCATAATTATTCATAAAATGTAAGCTCTTAAAGAAAGGATTTAACTTATAATTTAATATATTAAATCAAATATGCATCGAAAACAATTTTATATTAGGAATCTGAATCATATCACGAATCTTATAATTGTAAATTGAGATCTAAAATAGGTAAAAGAATAATACATCTATTCCATCTAATTTTTTAAAGGAGTTCTATTGGAACAATTTATTAATTAATATTGATTTAAAAATTTAATTGTCTATTATTTTATTTTATATTTTCTACTTCCTATTTAATTTGATTCAGTTATCAATTAATATAGAATAACTCTTTAAAACATAATGTTCATTTCAAGAAATTTTTCTTTAATGCTTTTTATTGAATTGGTTAGCAGAGGATAGTTCCAAATAAAATACAATTAGGAGAATTATTTTATATTTAAATGAAGAATCATATCTATTTAGAATTTTCTAAATTTTTTTTTTTTAAGCAATATTATTAGAACAGAATAGTATTTTTTATAAATTTTGAATTTTATAATCCAATTTTGACTTTTTATTAATGTCAATAGGAGCCCATTTAAGGAGATGAGTAATTTGAGCATATTCCTTTAATCACTCAGAATTATAGCTGTGCAAATAAATCATCCAGTAACCTCAGCATTTAGAAGAGGCTGAATAAGTACATATTTGGTTGATAATGATACAATAGAATTGCAAGGCTTATAATCACTGATCTAGCTGTATAGAATTGTACCTATTAGGATATATATGATCCATCAGGATTTGCAACTCCTGCAATGAAAATTGCATCTTTTGATGAAATTGAAGAGGCATATATTTTACAGTATAATTATAGTAAAATGTGGTTATCCAATAATTTTAAATTTATTGCAAACAAAATCAGAGAGTTTTATCATAATCTGATCCATCTTTGGAGTCTATAATATTTTTCTTGAAAATTTTGCCCAAATACTATTGTAGTATTAAACATATTCAATTGAAGTTTAAATCTCTTAGCATTACAGAAAGTATTAGTTTATATAGCTGTAAATAAAAATCCATTAAAAATATGATATATATCATTGGAATCATTAAATGATTTGCCAAGATTATAAATGATTTCCTTTTGAACATTAACATATTGATGATTTTATAAATATGCTTAATATTTTAATTTAATATCTATAAGCATTTCAATTAATAAATTAATATTTGTATAATTGGGTGAAAATTATGAATATTTGAGTAAAGAAAGTAAACTTAAAAAGTAGCTTGTTCAAAATTAAATGTATTTATCAGTATAACTTTGATAAGTTAATTAATTATTAAATTTATCTTAATTGATTGGAAAAAACATTAATGATATTCAATATATTATTCGATACAAATAGGCAGATAGAATAAATTTCTTTATATCGTTATAAAATCAATTATATACTATTTTATATAATGATTATCAATTGGAAAAATATGATATTATTACTAATATTGTGCTTTTAAAAGATAGGTTTGCAATAAATAGTATTTCTAAAGTAAATTAAAATAATATTTAAAAATATTCAATTTCAAACATATTAAATATTGTGTTAATTTTTTAGTAAGAGTGAATAAAAAGAAAATTATTTTAATATTGTATATCTAGCAGCACATAAGAATTGTTTCCGTATATAAATTAAATGGGTGTAACAATTTGAATATTTAGTTAAATTGAATAAATATTAACCTAAGTAATACTATAGTTCATTATAATTAAGGTGATTAGACCAGTTTAACTTGTGATTTAAATGATGGAGCTATATATATATTACTTGTGATTCAACCATAAGATAATTATTAAAAGAAAAATGTAATTGCAAGGATGGATTTATTTGAAGTAACATCCGTAAATTTGACTGAATGTTTATGCATAGAATATGAATTGGATTATTAGAATGTTCAGAGAATTGTATTACATGTGATTTTTCAAAAAGGATTATAGTTTAAGCTGTATGATGAAAACATCACATTTCGGTGATTAGTAATGGGGATTGTGTTTGAAATCCGGTTATTATGCAGTTACATATTAATATGTATGCGAAGTTGATACTTGGGATAAGAGATTGCTGACATTTAAATTCAAGACTGATACATCTAAACTAATCGAGTTTTGGAATGGTAATGGAATGCAGGAATGTTTCAATATTAAAAGGATTAAGCAGTTTATATTTAAGTGATATTAACTTAGCAAGAAGTAACAGTTACAAGAAGTAGATTTCTAGCTGAAAATCACTCAATATATTAGGTGATGTATTTCTTTAAATGGGTATACAAAATCTACTTTTAAGAGATACAGAATGTGAAATATTAATAGATGGCTTAATGAATTTAATAAATGGATGCCAGAAATATTGTGATTATAGTTAATGCAGAAGCTGTTAATTAAATAGAGAAAATTAAAATGGGAACTGTTTGTGCTAATACAAGACATCAGATGAATCAAAACGCAATGAACCTTGCAATAGCTTAGTTAGTATAGCTTGTGTAAATAGTTTTGCATAACTTGCCCTGATGGTATATAGCCTCCTTGTATTTCTCCAATTCTAAAATGCGATGAGCAGATGGTAGGTACTAACTAAATGTTGATAACTTTTACGTTGTCGAATTCAATGTTCATATGATCGTACATTTCAATCAGAGTCAAGTGTTTGCAACGCTTGCTCCTTGATTTAATTCAAGAATTCAAATACTTGCGAAAATGTTAGGAACCTTGTTTAAATTGTTAAGCATCAGCAACTCATTGCCTTGATTGTATAATAGGGTATTATTATCTATCTGATAATGTTTGTTCTTAATGTATCCTTAAACAATGTAAAGTGTGTGTGAGTGCAATTGAATGCATTCTTTACAATGATGGTTATACATTAAATGATCTAAATTTGTGAATAACAAACTCAAAACATGTGAGGTTGGTTTTTATTGTGGAAAAAAACTGATTAACGTTATCCTTGTTTAGATTGTAAAAAAATACAACAATTTAGTTGTATGTATATCCTGCTTTATGGTAAGCTTCTAGATTCATAATATGAGTGTCGATTATGTGCAAATGATTAAATAAATCGTCCCATCTATATCCATGCATAAAATGTACAATATACAAAACAAATTGTTAATTGTGTGTTTACAGACATTATTTGGAAGGTAACGAATGCAAATTCTGTTAAAAAGGATTCTTTCTTTGTGCATATGAAAATAATTGTTAATAATCCTAAACAGGTTAGATTTTATCATTCGACTAGTATGTAAGGTGTGAGGCCAATTGTTATTTCTGTGACTCCTAAGTGGATTGTTATGAATGCTAAGTTGGATATTACCCAACTAATTTATTTCTAGTTTAATGCGAGAAATGTGACGTTGATTAATATGCTATTTGTACATTGGCTTTGATTTCTAGCACACATTAAATTCTAACAGTAGTTTCTAATAACACAAGACATAGAATTCAAAGCTGTAGTTGAATGTCATGTTACATAAATCCATCAACACAATAAGTGCATTAATATTAGTCTGAAAAATTATCATGTTTTTTAGACAAATAACACAAGGATGTGTCAATTAATATGTTTAGGCTGTTTAGCCACTTTGACTATTCCGTCAACATGTAATATTTTGAATTTGCTATATATCATAAACCTAGGTGCTTGATCATAATATTATTGTGAAATAATACAATACAATTTGTGCACTTAAAACAGGAATCCAATCGATTAAAAATTGAATGGTTTTTAAAATATTATACGCTAGTTTGCTAAATATAATTGCCTTGATTTAGGTTTGACTTATTAATTAACTTTCAGGTCTTTCCAAATAAGCTTTTTAAATTCTCTTTCTGAACATACAGAGTACTGACAAATTGAAACTGAGAGTAGTATTTTCTTCAACACTATAATTAATTGCATGAAATAGAAAGATGTACAAGTTTGTAATTAGCCATACAAGATCTAGCAACGCTTTCCTTTCAATAGTAGCTGTAGTACAAATAATGCAATAAATCAATTATTAAAATTTGCATGCATTACTACTGCGAGTATTAAATAAGGAAGCATTTAACACTTAATAAAGGTTCAAAATTGAATTTTCTGTTTCTAATCATTGTAATTTTATATATCTATTTTTCAAAACTTAAAAAATGACTATCACATGTAAGATGTTTTTATAT